TATGTCCGCTCAGGCATGCGCTTCCACAATAATCCAGTCTCATCCACATTGAATATTTGCTCAGGCAAATAATTCCCTTCCACAATCACATCATCTAACTCCTCGTTAAAAGCTTCGGCAGCACCAACATCGGCACTAGCTGCCTCTCCACTCACCTTAACATTGTGTAGACTGTCACGTTTTTTAAATCTATCAAACCACCCATGACTTCCTGTAAAGGTTTGATCACATTCATCTCCTGGCTGCTCCTTCAGGCTTTGGAACAGGCATCTTGCTTTAGCCTATGTGGTTAGAACGCTTAAGGGTACACGCTTCTGTATCTGGTCTTCTATCCATATCACCAATAATTTTTCCATATCGTGAATAGGACCTTGTCTTCTCTTTGATATTATAGTTCCCTTTATAGGTGTTGTTCCTTTCACTACATCACGAATACGTTCCTTGTCCTTCAGAATAGTGGATATGGTCGAGTGTTAGGAACCTAGGTCGCGTGAGATTGTTGCTACTGTTTTTCCATTCTCATGCTGTGTTATTATCTTCATTTTCCTCTCAAAAGTAATTGCCTGTCTCCTTTTCCTTGGAGCACCACCAACACTCTCACTTTTACGCTTTCCAGTCATTATAAAGTCAATTAAATACGATAATAACGAAAGTTCACAGAGCGATCAGTATAGGATACGACAGCCAAACACCAACTAAGCGCTCCACTGAGTGAGTGTACCCACGCTCTCGCCCGGGACAGAAACGTTTCGGTATAGGAAATGCGCGCATCATTTGAAAATATTTTTTGTCACGACTGCCGCGGTCGTATGTCCCGATGGTCGTAAGGTCAGAACAGATCGTAAGTACCGATGGACGTAAGTCCAAGCAGTCATAAGTCGGGGACTACCTATAGTAAAATATTTGGGTGGTGAGAGAGGCCTCATCACTTCTTAGCTCAGTGGTTGTCTGCCATGGTTAATGATCATTTGTGGGTGACTGTAGTGAGGTGAACACATAATGGTAATGGTGTGTGAAGGATTACTACAGTGGATGTTGTTTTTGTTCCTCATGAGGTGATACACAAGTGAGTAAAGGAGTTGTTGTTAGGTTGTGATAAAACACCAAATTCTGGATAGTAGTGAGGAGGCCAGTTTACTTGTGTCTGGGTTTTGTTAGGCTGGAGGGAGCACTTGAGGTTTCTGCTACAGGCTGCTTGTGTGCTGCTCAGTGGTAAATTCTTTTGGCTGTGAACATGAGGATGACATCTCATGGACTACTGTTCATCGGTGAAATTAACAAAATAGCAGTAAATGTATTCATGAAAGAACTCCTTTGCAGATGTGAGTATCAACACTTGTATTTTTTTGTCCGCAGAGAGAACGCAAAAGACGAGGAAGGTGTTGGATATGCCCGAGGAAGGATGATAAAAAAACAGACACTCGGTGTTGTATGTGTACTAAGTGGGTGTGCAAGATACATTTAATGTGGGAGACAAACACAGTTGTGTGTTGCTACTGTAGGTATCATCAGTGGACTTAAGTCTGTGTGGGGGTTACAGTAGTGTGGGCGAATCATATTGTTTGTGTAAATCCAGCAGTGTACAGTACAGTTCTGCAGCTATATAAACAACATTAGTATGATTAACTTGTGAACACACTACTAAGAGATGGATGGTACTGTACTGTGGGTAAAAAAGGTATCTTTACAATTGTTGTGAGAAACAAAGTGACACCATGATGAAGGTTTTTGATAAAGGCTAATGAGACATATTTGTACTCTTATTCACCAATCATAATGAGACATACTGTTATTCACCAATCATAATGAGACATACTCTTATTCACCAATCATAATGAGACATACTCTTATTCACCAATCATAATGAGACATACTCTTATTCACCAATCATAATGAGACATACTCTTATTCACCAATCATAATGAGACATACTCTTATTCACCAATCATAATGAGACATACTCTTATTCACCAATCATAATGAGACATACTCTTATTCACCAATCATAATGAGACATACTCTTATTCACCAATCATAAGGCAACAAACTCATTTTATTTTTTCATTATGCCCATCATAATAGGTAGGAAATATCTCGCAATCAAGCTTACCAACTGTACCGAGACAACAGGATTTTTCAGTTCCAAATTCATTTGACCCCTCATGAAAGATACATTTTACCGAGTGTACATGTGTGTGGGTACTGAGCATTCCCCTAAGAGATGGATGGTACTGTACATGTGTGTGGGTACTGAGCACTCCCCTAAGAGGTGGATGGTACTGTACATGTGTGTGGGTACTGAACACTCCCCTAAGAGATGGATGGTACTGTACATGTGTGTGGGTACTGAGCACTCCCCTAAGAGGTGGATGGTACTGTACATGTGTGTGGGTACTGAAGACTCCCCTAAGAGATGGATGGTACTGTACATGTGTGTGGGTACTGAGCACTCCCCTAAGAGGTGGATGGTACTGTACATGTGTGTGGGTACTGAACACTCCACTAAGAGATGGATGGTGCTGTATGTGTGTGGGTACTGAACACTCTAAGAGGTGGATGGTACTGTACATGTGTGTGGGTACTGAACACTCCCTAAGAGGATGGTACTGTACATGTGTGTGGGTACTGAAGACTCCCTAAGAGATGGATGGTACTGCATGTGTGTGGGTACTGAGCACTCCCAAGAGGTGGATGGTACTGCACATGTGTGTGGGACGAACACCCACTAAGAGATGGATGGTGCTGTACATGTGTGTGGGTACTGAACACTCCCCTAAGAGGTGGATGGTACTGTACATGTGTGTGGGTACTGAACACTCCCCTAAGAGGTGGATGGTACTGTACATGTGTGTGTACTGAACACTCCCCTAAGAGGTGGATGGTACTGTACATGTGTGGTACTGAACACCCCAAGAGATGGATGGTACTGTACATGTGTGTGGGTACTGAACACTCCCCTAAGAGGTGGATGGTACTGTACATGTGTGTGGGTACTGAACACTCCCCTAAGAGGTGGATGGTACTGTACATGTGTGTGGGTACTGAACACTCCCATAAGAGGTGGATGGTGCTGTACATTATTATAGACGTTTTTATTGTTCCATAGAGTATTTGGGTAACTAATACAGTAACATCACAAACAGATTAATACCCTACAAGAGGTTGTACAGTATTTAGTGAGTGTTGGCATAACATACTGTACGTCTTGATGGAGAAGTTCACTACAGTACTGAAGGTAATGAAGCAAAGAAACTTTTGTATAGTACTGTACTGTAGTACTGTACAGTATACTACAGTACTGAAGGTAATGCAGCAAAGAAACTTTTGTATAGTACAGCGCTGTAGTACTGTACAGTACACTACAGTACTGAAGGTAATGAATGCAAAGAAACTTTTGTATAGTACAGTACTGTAGTACTGTACAGTACACTACAGTACTGAAGGTAATGAATGCAAAGAAACTTTTGTACAGAACTGTACTATAGTACTGTACAGTACACTACAGTTTTGAAGGTAATGAAGCAAAGAAACTTTTGTACAGAACTGTACTGTAGTACAGGTTGTACCTCTCTAGTCCGGCAACCTCGGGATCTGACCGGTGCCGGACCATGGAAATTTCCGGACCATGGAAATTCACCCTTTTCCTGGATAGATAGTGACTTGTGGTTATGCTTGGAAGCACTAGCACCACTTTCTGCTTCATGGTCTCTTTGAAGATATATTGAAGGGTTAAATGTCGTGCAGCTTCTCAAATTTCGCGAAGTTTTTAATTCGACGTATTTGAACAAAAAAAATTAAAATTTTGACGGGCGGAAAATTCGAATTTCGACGGTTTGAACGGCCCACTAATGTTCAGACATGCACAATCATGTAAACAGCGCCATTTCTCTTATGTACAAAAGATTCATTATTGTTTATTACTGAATGTCTTTTTGATTGAATTAATGTTTATGTGTGCAAAATGAGCAATACAATTCATTAATAATACGTGGAATATTAAAACACACGAGGAAATGAGACAGCATTGTTATTGATTACAAAACCAGTGACTGACTGGTTCTACATATAAAACTGAAGAAAATAAGACCTTGACTGTAGCTGTAGTAAAATTAATGTAAAAAAATTAATATGCTTGTTTTCAGTAATGTTATTTAATGTTAATAAATGGAACAATAGAAGTAGCTAACGATAATGGTAAAGAAAAAAAGAGAGATCGGGTATGTAAGTGCGCACATTTGTGAAAACATATCGTCATTACTCTATATAAGAATATGAAAGGAACACTAATTTACCGTTCATATATATTTCAATTAATGTTTCTGATTTTTTTTATTGAATTAAAGTTTGTGTGTGCAAATGAACAATACAATTTATTAATAATCGTGGAATATTAACACGAGGAGAAGGCGGCTGCCGGCATTGTTTTCAAGAAGCTTAAAACCAGTGACTGATTGGTTCATATATAAAACTGAAGAAAATAAGACCTGATTGTAGCAGTAAAATTAATGTAAAAAATTAATATGCTTGTTTGAAGTAATGTTATTTAATGTAATAAATGGAACAATATAAGTAGCTAACCATTAATGGTAAAGAAAAAGTGAGACTACGGTATGTAACGCGTGAAAACATATCACACATCACATTAGAATATGAAAGCAACACTTATTTACTGCTCATATATATTGAAGGGTTAAATGTTGTACTCTGTATAGACAAGCAGAGAGAGAGAGAGAGACAGTCGAACTGCGGATGTAAACAAACCTTAATTTCCCGCGCTTTTTTTTTAGGATTAGCCCACCCGGCATAGGTCACTGACCCACATTTATTTAATATTCCTGTAATAATAATAGCAGAAAAAAAAGCTGCCTATTTACCTATTGGACAAACTAAAATCATTCTGGACCACGGGAGTTTCCGGACCACAGAATGCCGGACTAGAGAGGTACAACCTGTACTGTACAGTACACTACAGTACTGAAGGTAATGAAGCAAAACTTTTGTACAGTACTGTACTGTACAGTACAGTACAGTACAGTACTGAAGGTAATGAAGCAAAGAAACTTTTGTACAGTACAGTACTGTACAGTACAGTACTGTACAGTACTGAAGGTAATGAAGCAAAGAAACTTTTGTACAGTACAGTACTGTACTGTACAGTACAGTACAGTACTGAAGGTAATGAAGAAGAACTGTACAGTAGCATGTTCAGAACTGTACTGTATTACTGTAGTACTGTAATTGCATGTAGTACGTATAGTACAGTACAGTACTGTACAGTACAGTACAGTACTGAAGGTAATGAAGCAAAGAAACTTTTGTACAGTACAGTACTGTACAGTAGTGTACTGTGCTGTACTGCCCTTATTGTGGCCATTTCCAAATTTCCAAAAAGGAGGACATTTTTTAAATTATTATGACACTTATTTTTAACCTAAATTAAACATGTTTAAAGATGAGTTGAAATATAAAAAGTTGTATAAAATATACTTAGTAGTGTTGATTTGTCAAATATCACTATAATGTAATGAAGACTACTTTGTGGTTTTTCTAAAATTTCAATTTTTTTAAAGGCACTGTATATGTTACATACATGATACATGCATTCATACAGTGTAAATAAAGAACTGAAACAAATGAATATTCATTTTTACTCCTGCTGGAACAACATACTGTATGCTAACCAAATTAACTTACTTCACAAACTAAAGGAAGTAGCTAATGTGGCCTTCAGTTCCCACTGCTTTAGTATACGTAAGGTAATTTATATAATTCTTTTTAGACAGGCCCAAAAGAGAAGGACAAATTAACGTCCTGCTTGAGGTGGCGAGACGGAGGACAGATTGCTCAAAAGCAGGACTGTCCTGCCTAAAATAGGACGTCTGGCCAGCCTAACTGTACTGTACTTTACTGTACTGTACTGTACTGGACTGTACCATACTGTACTGTACTGTACTGTACTGTACTGGACTGTACCATACTGTACTGTACTGTACTGGACTGTACTGGACTGTACTGTACTGTACCATACTGTACTGTACTGTACTGTCCTGTCCTGTGCTGTACTGTCCTGTACTGTACTGTCTCTGTACTGTACAGTACTGTCCTGTACTGTACTGTAACTATCCTGTACTGCATTGTATTGTTTGTACTGTACTGTTGTACTGTATGTACAGTACTGTACTTTACTGTACTGTATTGTATTGTACTGTACTGTACTTACTGTACTGTATTGTATTGTACTGTAATTTTACTGTACTGTATTGTATTGTACTGTACTTTACTGTACTGTATTGTACTGTACTGTACTGTACTTTACTGTACTGTATTGTACTGTACTGTGCTGTACTGTGCTCAACTGTTGTACTGTACTGTACTGTCCTGATTGTACAGTACAGTACTGTGCTGTACTGTTCTGTACTTTACTGTACTGTATTGTACTGTACTGTACTGTACTTTACTGTACTGTATTGTACTGTACTGTCCTGTGCTGTGCTGTACTGTACTGTACTGAATCTGCTGTACTGTACTGTACTGTGCTGTACTGTACTGTCCTATCCTGTTCTGTACTGTACTGTACTGAACTGTGCTGTACTGTACTTGTACTGTACTGTTCTGTACTGTACTGTATTGTACTGTACTGTACTGGTACTGTACTGTACTGTGCTGTGCTGTACTGTGCTGTACTGTACTATACTGTGCTGTACTGTGCTGTACTGTTCTGTTCTGTACTGTACTGTACTTGTACTGTACTGTACTGTACTGTACTGTCCAACCTGTACTGTACTTTTTTTACTGTACTGTACTTGTACTGTACTTTACTGTACTGTATTGTACTGTACTGTTGTGGTTGTGCTGTACTGTACTGTACTGTACTGTTCTGTTCTGTACTGTCCTATCCTGTACTGTACTTTTACTGTACTGTATGTACTTCTGTATTGTACTGTACTGTACTTTACTGTACTGTATTGTACTGTGTTGTGCTGTACTGTACTGTACTGTACTGTACTGTACTGTACTGTGCTGTGCTGTACTGTACTGTACTGTACTGTACTGTACTGTACTGTGCTGTGCTGTACTGTTCTTGGTGCTGTACTGTTCTGTACTGTACTGTACTGTTCTGTACTGTACTTTACTGTACTGTCCTATCCTGTACTGTACTGTACTTTACTGTACTGTATTGTACTGTACTGCACTGTGCTGTACTGTACTGTACTGTGCCGTGCTGTAATTGTTCTGTACTGTACTGTGCTGTGCTGTGCTGTACTGTGCTGTGCTGTACTGTACTGTATTGTACTGTTCTGTACTGTACTGTACTGTACTGTATTGTACTGTACTGTACTGTACTGTACTGTACTGTCCTGTACTGTACTATACTGTACTGTACTGTACTGTACTGTACTGTACTATACTGTGCTGTACTGTACTGTACTGTACTGTACTATACTGTGCTGTACTGTACTGTACTGGTAGTTATGGTTGATATAAACAACTGTTGATGCAGGGATGTGTTCTGGACACCGGCAGTGACAACAAAATAAAATATTCTTTGCATAATATAAGTAATAAAGCCATTTGTTATTATGTCCAGTATGTCACTAAGAAAGTGTATTTGTTCTTGTGCTTCTTAATAGTGAAACAAAAGGTCAGTAATAATGTCACTCGGTGAATCACACTCAAAACAGAAAATCCATTGAACCAGTTTATTAACAGGTTGTAAATGGCTTGAGGAATATTAATGTTGTGTTCCTTCATCAGATGACACAAGAGGAGCATGTGGAGGCTGGGGCAGCACCCCTCAACGAGAAGCTGGCAACACCTCCCCCCAGTGTGCTTGAAAAGGTCGATGTAGAACTTTTGCTCACAGAAAGAGAAGTAAAATATTTGTGGATTGGTTGAAAATATCGGACGATCTCGGGTTTGCTCACGTTAAGGATGATGTGTTGAATATTGTCCAGAAGATATTTACTGAACAGCAGAGAAAAACTCCTTTCCCATATAATCTTCCCAACAGTTACTGGTACAACAGGTTTCTCAGGAGACATCCGAGCATCACGTCAAAGGTCCACAAGGAAAATTTGATTGTGAAGTCTTTTGCTACCTTTGATTCTGTCAAACTGTGGTACTCAAATCTGGAGAAGTTTTTAACAAAGATTGACTGTGCTGATATACTGAATGATGCCAGAAGGATATTTTCTGCCGGGTCCATCGTGTTCCCCCATGAGAGTGCTAAGGACGGTACGGTCTTTGAGCCACGTGGCGTTAATGACAGGACGCCGAGAAAGTTGTCTCAGTTTGTATCGGTAATAGAGACCATCAGTGCAGAGGGCAAAATCTTACCCGGAACGGTAGTGTTTCCCGACGTAGCCATTCCCAACTATGTGTCTAACGCATCTACTCATGGCTGGCACATAAATGCCTCAACTTGTGGTGTGGTTCAGCCAGAGAACTTTTTGGATCATCTGAAGACAGTGTTCATACCTTGGCTTCACAAGGAAGGCATCAAGACTCCAGTTATATTGTTCCTCCACGGACGCCATACCACCTTGATAACTCCAGAGCTGTGAGTTGTCCAGGGACAAAGTAGTCATTATGCACTCACTTCATCCATACACCATTCTGCAGAAGGTGGAGCCAGTAGTAATGGCTGTATGTGATCCTCTCATGCTGGCCTGGGCTGAGGAAGCCCATAAATGGAGATGTCAAAATAAGAGCCAATTCTTAAGTTGCTGTGGTTTCTTTACAGTTTTGAGTCGAGTACAAGAAAAAATGGTGGTGTCCCAAAACATAAGACAATCTTTTAAACTCAGTGGTCTGTATCCATTTGATTTAAATGCTTTGGCTGAGGCCCATCAGCAATGAAAGAAAACTTGGCTCTGACTCTCAGCTTTTAGACAATGATTTATGTTGGAAAATGTAAGAGGCTTGCAGGACATGTTGATTCACAGCAACAGTTGTAGTGTCTGTCCCAGCTTGTACAGTACAAGCTTACAGTCTATAAATAAATATTTAGCTGTACTGTATTATACTGTACTGTACTTTACAGTACTGTACTGTACTGTACTGTATTATACTGTACTGTACTGTGATATACTGTATCGTACTCTACTGTACTGTACAGTACTGTACTGTACTATGCTGTACTGTACTGTATGTACTGTACTGTACAGTATATTGCTGTATATAATTCTTGACAAAGAATTAATGTGTAAAATACTTTATTGTGAGGAGAATGCAACTACACTACACTACACTACACTACACTACACTACACTATAGAACTTATTGCCAGTGAATTATAGTTGAATCCTTCTTGTTGTTTTGTATTTAATTATTTTGGGGACAACTTGTGATTATTTTAACAACACTATCATTAATGTGGTGTGGAAATATTGTACTACAATTATACTGTACACTCCTGTACTGTACAGTTATACTGTCCAGTACTGTACTGTACTGTACATCTTCACAGGTAAAATATTATAATTATATTGGTCTGAAGAATAACCATCGTGTTGAAGACTGTAGCAAGTAGTCAAGGGTTTACTCCTTGAGGACCCTAGTTTACACTGGACCATGTGTACAAGTGGTGTGTGGACCATGGTGTGTGATGTAGACTGTGGGCCATGGTGTGTCATGTAGACTGTGGGCCATGGTGTGTGATGTAGACTGTGGGCCATGGTGTGTGATGTAGACTGTGGGCCATGGTGTGTGGTGAAGAATGTGGGCCATGGTGTGTGATGTAGACTGTGGGCCATGGTGTGTGATGTAGACTGTGGGCCATGGTGTGTGATGTAGATGTGGGCCATGGTGTGTCATGTAGACTGTGGGCCATGGTGTGTGGTGAAGAATGTGGGCCATGGTGTGTGATGAAGAATGTGGTCCATGGTGTCTGATGTAGACTGTGGGCCATGGTGTGTGGTGAAGAATGTGGGCCATGGTGTGTGATGAAGAATGTGGGCCATGGTGTGTGATGTGGACTGTGGGCCATGGTGTGTGATGAAGACTGTGGGCCATGGTGTGTGATGAAGAATGTGGACCATGGTGTGTGATGTAGACTGTGGGCCATGGTGTGTGATGAAGAATGTGGACCATGGTGTGTGATGTAGACTGTGGGCCATGGTGTGTGGTGAAGAATGTGGGCCATGGTGTGTGGTGAGAATGTGGACCATGGTGTGTGATGTAGACTGTGGGCCATGGTGTGTGGTGAAGAATGTGGGCCATGGTGTGTGGTGAAGAATGTGGGCCATGGTGTGTGGTGAAGAATGTGGGCCATGGTGTGTGGTGAAGAATGTGGGCCATGGTGTGTGATGAAGAATGTGGGCCATGGTGTGTGGTGTAGACTGTGGGCCATGGTGTGTGGTGAAGAATGTGGGCCATGGTGTGTGGTGAAGAATGTGGACCATGGTGTCTGATGTAGACTGTGGGCCATGGTGTGTGGTGAAGAATGTGGGCCATGGTGTGTGATGAAGAATGTGGGCCATGGTGTCTGATGTAGACTGTGGGCCATGGTGTGTGGTGAAGAATGTGGGCCATGGTGTGTGATGAAGAATGTGGGCCATGGTGTGTGATGTAGACTGTGGGCCATGGTGTGTGATGTAGACTGTGGGCCATGGTGTGTGATGAAGAATGTGGAC